GACTCAGTTACAGTCAGGTCATTAAAGGGATACTTCACCCATTTGCATTAATCTTTGTATCATTAGAAACTGGTAGTGTTTTTGAATGGCCGTGCATCCCGCCCTCATTTTCCCCTGAGATGGGAAATCTTTGTATTTCTGAGTCTGAAAAGGAGTTTCCAGTGACGCAAAATGAAGATTTTTGTGTCACTGGAAGCTGCTAGCGGTGTGAAACTACAACGCTAGTTCCTCATATTTTCAACCACTGAAGCTACAGACCAATCACAGATCAGTGGGTGAGAACTCACTCCCAGAATCGAAACTTAACGTCCGCCATATTGATTGGAAGCTATGCTAACAGGCTCTATGGAGAAAGCTGATAATGGCGAGAAAATACAAATATAGCGGCGAGACGGCTGCTAACCGCTAGGCACTGGGGCCGCCGCGACACAAGACCGCTGGCCGCTGCCAGCTCAGCAGCCGAGACATAAGGCCTGCCTGTCGGCGGCGGTGAGGACGAGGACCCCGGGCCGGCTCGAGTTGGGGTGGACTGGTAGTGTCGGTGCTCTCACTGTTTGTCTATGGACACAGACATAGAGTCTGTTTTCTGTCAGGAATTTCCAAGATCAATTCTGGAAGAAATCTCTGAATCAGTTGAGGAAATGGTCTTATGTGTTGAAGTAAATATGTCTGTAAATGTTTTTATTACTTTATTTCTACTGCTATATTTTATATTTTGGAGAAACTGTAATGATCGAACTTCCCTCTGGGATTAATAAAGTATTTCTGATTCTGAACTAGAGGACCTTAGTGGGAGTGGCCTGTGGTGCTGTGCATTCTGGGATTTGGTGTCTTTCATCCACATGAGCCAAAAAGTCACTTTCTGCCTTTCTGCCAAGAAGGCACCAACTTCAAAATGTATTTCACATTTCTACAACATATATGACCCAATGTCAATACAGATTCATGTTTCAACGGGTGAAGTGTCCCTTTAAGTTCTGTGACTGAATTTGCTGGTTTGATGTCAATCAGAAAGCTATTCGGTTCAACCTGCAACACAGAACCACAACACCCCATAACTTCAAAGGTTTAATACATTTACAACTGTTGGGAAGAAGTCGTCATGGATCTAGAAATGAGCTGTGGTTTCTTTATACCAGCCTGTCAGCACTTAGTACAAACGGACATTTTAATATGGGGTGGAAATGGGTATTTGTCAGCCCTCAGGAGCTGCAGTTTTGGGCACTTCCACATGGGCTTTATTTTCAACACTGGCCTGATCTCAATAATAGTACACAGACTTTGAGCCCACAGCACCTTGCAGAACCTGCATTTGTTGTTTTTGCAAAGACGCCACTTTTGTGAAGTTGCAAAAATAAGGGGAAAACAAGTTTCAAAAAACAAGAGCTAGTGAGGAATTTGAAAACAGTAATGTCTCTGGCCTGTCTCTTCACATCAGTTCTCAATCATTAATTTGTTCAAGAATTTCTTCACTTCTGACTAATTTGGGAAATTGGTATTAAAAAATATTCCTCCTTAACTGAGGATCTTCATAGACTGTATTTTCCATGTTCTCTGCTTTATCTGCAGATCAGTCATAAAGAAACATGTTGAAACTACATTAACATTACTGGAGCTGATTCTGTTCTGGATTTATTTGGTGTGATTTTGAGAGTCACTTTTCTACATTGAAAAATGTATTCTGTTAATTTATTAATAGTAATGAATGCAATCAAAATGCATAAACATTTTATAATGATAAACAGTTGTGAATTGCCATCCTCAAATATTATAAATTCATGTGAATTTAAAAGTTCTTTACATGTGATTTATTTTGTTAACATTGTAAATTGTTTATTTATTCTAACTCTAAGGTGTGGCTTCTAAGTGTAACTGCTGCGCTGTCTTTATCAGATCGCCCTGATAAGAGGATTCACTCATAAGGGACGTCTTTTGAATGATAATAAAAACATCAACACAGGGGAGAAGAATGTACTCATCTAAAGGGTCAATTCAGTTTGATGTAAACAATAAGGATTTTCTGATTTCACATTTAAATTCAGTTTAAATGCAAACTTAACTTACTTTGTTTTCTCCTTCGATGATGAATTCAAATTATAGCCAAAACAACACCAAGAGATAAGACGATGGGTACAACAATCGGTGTAACAATATTTTGGCTGCCTTTCGATGCTGTAAAGAAAAAAGAAAGCCTGATTAGAAATTCATACCTGGCTGAACTCTTGCAGCATACCTGAGAGTGAACTATAACCACTCAATCTCACAGACCTGATCTGTAGTAAAATATGAAATTGGTCTAATCAACCCTGAATGGATGGTGCCCTAAAGTCACAATTTAAAACTACATGGAAGGATAGTCACCTCCTGGTTTTAAGGATCACCTTAGACATTTCTGACATTGTATTTTTTTAAATAGATTGTTATCTCCTTTGGTGACCTGTTGTTACTGGCATGTAAATGTAACTCTTTACTTTGTCTTGACTTCTTTTAATAAGACTCTAAAGGCTGTGTGACTGAATTGACCATCAGGGATTAATAACACATCTGAATCTCATAAAATCAATTCATTGTTTTTAGCTTTTAAACAATTAATGCTAGTCCATTTATATGTCAAATAATCTCTGCTTCGTTTATTTTATAGGTTAGAGGGCGTAATCACAAACAGAGAGGGAACAATGAATGACTGAAATGAGATGGATCGCACTAAGGCCATGTTTAGAAGAATGATGAACATGATGACTGGTTTGGTCTTTGTTTTCTTCTTGTGTTTTTGTTAATGGTCTGTCATGTGTAAGTTTATATTTTGTGTGTGTTGTTTGAATGTTGTAAAAAATAAATAAAAACTATTTTGATACTATTTTTTTTAAAGCCAATGATTGACAAACTATCACTGATTAGTCTTAAATCATGACAATGTTTCTGCTGAAATTATTTCTTCAGAATTTATGAACAAAATGATCTCCTACCAACAGCTGAAACACAATGGAGAAGATTTATATCATTGTTTCATCAACAACAAAAAAATCATCTGTTGGTTTTTATTTAGGCTACAATCCACACTGTTTATAAGTGTTAAGTTGTAGTTTTTAACTCTTACCTTTACAAAACTCTTCAATCTTTTGGATGCCCCTTGTAGAGCTGACCTGGTTGCTATGGTTACAGATGACTGAGCTGTTCTCCAGGTAGACGTCCAGAGAAGCACCAGGTGTGATGATCTCTGCTCGCTCTCCTCCCTCGTGAGAGCAGGTTTGTGTGCCACATGTGAACGTGCTGCTGATGAGAGAGTCCTCAGTGCTGCAGATCACTGTGACCTTAGTGGAGTCTGAGCTGCAGAGTTTCACTGTCAGCTTCACTCCAGACACTGGATCTGCAAGAAGCAAAGCAAGTGTGATGACTTTTTTTAAAACAGGGAACGACTCTGTATCAACATCTTCAAATTAAAGAAACGTACCCAGAACTGTGACGCTGTATTCAGCTACATCTGAGTTATTATCAGCAGCAACACGTGCTCTGTAAACTCCACTGTCCTCCTTTTGTACGTTCTTTAACAGTAGAGAGTGAGTTTGTGCAGAAAATTCTGCTCTAGATGTATAATTTTTGGAAATGGTTGGTTTACCACATTGAGCTAGTCTCACAACATTAGCTCTGTCATTGACATTCCATGTAAATAAATCTGCCTCCTTCAGAACAACAGGTTCCTTCACATCCAGAAGTAAATCTGTTCCTGTCTGCACAAACACAGGAGTCCCTGCAGAGAGAAGAGAAATAAAAATCATGTGTATGATTAAAAGAACACTTGAATCAATATTTCCATGTTAACAATGTATCACTTGTTTACTTGTATTTCAAAGTTCTTGACAAACACAGAGAATGATCACCTGACTGAAGGTTAAAAATACAAACCTAAAACAGGAATGAATGTTTTAATATACTTTAATTTACACTCTGATATTGAGACATGCTACTCGCACACAAAGGCCAGAAATACAAACATGCACAAACAGGACCTTTGAACGTGCACTAACAGAGAGATGTCAGAGTGGGACTGAAACACAGGGAGCGCGTCATAGCTGTTAGGGGATGATCAGTTTGAATTGGAAGAGCATGAAGAAAGCCGACTTGATTAGGTGTTGAGGCTCCCTGAGCAGCTGCCTGAGTGAGCAGTAGGAGCGGAAGCAGGTACAACTTTTATATATTCCTATTGTAATTAATGTTCTTAGTATTGTTTTAACGTACAATAATATTTTCCTTTCTCTGTATTCTGTCAGGTTGTGTTGCACGTCGTATGTCATTATCTGCTGTGCTCTTGTACGATGCTTTAAATCAAATGTACCTTTCAGTGATAATAAAAGGTCAGAACTGAATCTAACTGGAGTCGGGTTTGTGTGAAAGAGTGAAGGAAGGGTAGAGGAAAGGATGATGGGATGTAAGGATGTATGTGCACAGGGATTTTGTGAAGCCTGCGGACACATGGATGAAAGCTGAAGTAGCTTGAGGGATCAGAGCAATTTGGCCGGAAAGAGACCTGGAACGTCTCCAACAGATGAACTCCCATACAACCTAGGTCCCTACCAAGGGCAACCTCCGGTCTCGAAAAATGAAGCCTATGCGGAAGTACAAAAACTGCAGTTCCTCGAGGTTCGCTTGAGGCTGGCTGCAGAAGCGCGCGAAGGCATAAGCCTGCATAAGCACAGCCAAAAAAGCCCGTTTTTACCACAGGAATCAACATGTTTACAGCCTGGTTCAAAAAACAAATATATCTGAGAAGTTGACGGCCCCTTCTCCTCACACTGATTTCTCCTCTTTTTTACATCGTTTGGAGAGTTTGTTTAACACATATCTGACAACATACACGGCTTGCTGTGCGGTTAACAGACCATCCAACAAGTTGATGCTTCAGTTTTTTTCGGTAAGTGATATAGTAGTGTTATATTTACTGCTTACTCATGTGTTTATATTTACGGACCTAGCTTGTTTAGCGTTAGCTTGTAAACCAGTCGGCTAACTGTGTAGCTCATTATTTACAGTCAATGGTTTAGAAATGTTTGTTGTTAAGATGTTGTTGTTGAAAATAGTGAGTTTGTGTGATGTTAGAAGCTAAAGGTTCACCTCGGTGGTTAACCACAGACTGTAAATATGGTTATCTGACGTTATGATGAATGTTATACTCCACGTAAATGTGGACATTAAAAAACAAACTTTGTGTAGTAATTATCCGTCAGTAACATAAACTGAACTGAACCTAATGTGCTGTGTAGGTTATAGAGGATGACATTAAAGTTACATGGTTGATGTAGTGTCTTAAGGTTTGAGTAAACTGTTAACAAATAAAAAAAACTTCACTTTGTAAGAGCATCTGTAACCATTAAGAACTATATTAATAACCATATTAATTTTCACTGAACTCATACACAGAATATAGCTGTAGAAATATAAAATATAAATAACATATGGAATGAAAATCAGATATAAAGCACATAGATATAAAGTATAAGAAATAGTTTGAAGAATACAGCCATGTACTGAGCTCATGTTAATAATAAATGAGTTACTGTATGTTCTGTACTAAAGCACAGAGACTGTTAATGATTTAAATAATTCAGATTATATTTGTTTCATGTTAAAATGAAGTACTATCCACAATAAACTGCTGAATTTTTCCTCACACAAAATCTGAGATTCATTTGATGTGGAATATCATTGTGTGAGTGAGAGAGCTGAAAACAGCATGATTACAATAAGGTTTATCTTCTTAACTTTAAATAGATGTTGATTATCTTAATACTGTACCTTTGTTGTCTGGGTAGTACACTGTTGAATTTATAAATGTGCTCTCACACACAGATGAATACAGAAAAATAGATGAGAACAAACAAAATGATTTAATGAATAACTGATATTTTCTCTCTTTCTTTGCCATCCTGAAGACCTCTCACTAAAAGTCCATGTTCTCCTGGATCCATGTCACATGCTCGAGCTTCTTCTGAATGACTTTTCAACAGTCGAAGTTCTGCTGAGAGAAGATGGCCAGCAGATAAGACGGCAGTACATGAAGGAGCTCCACAGGCTTCAGAAGGAGGAGGAGGGTTTGCACCTTAGAAGACTGTATTCATACTGTTCAAATAAAAATAGATCTCCTCCAAACAACTTGCAATCAAACTATTTTCTTCCCATTTTAAAACCCTTTGTCCAGTTTAGATGGGAGAAGTTGATATTATGTGATATTGATCTGGGAAGACTACATTTCTAAATCATTTTTAACTGTGTTTTTATTCACAAGTTATTGATCTTATTTACTCTCCATGTATCTTGATTTAAGAATGGGGCTGTGTTTAAGGGCAAATTTTTGCAATGACTCTGTTCCATCCCACTTTCAGAAATGAACTGCATTAGTATTTATCAAAAGAATAAGAAGTTGTGTAAAAGTAGACTTCCTTCCCTAAGCTATTGAGTTGAGCATTAATCTGAAATGTATACTCATAAGTAGACATAAAGGAGTGCATTTATATAGAAATATTTATTTAATTTGAAAAACAACATTAAAAAAAGTCTGTTTTTATAGCAGAGATGAACATGTTTACAGCTTGGTACAAAACAAACAAATAGGTGTGATTAGCTCATGTCTCGATGGACACACACTGTACAGGGGGGGGGTGAATGTTTTGATGACTCATCAGTTTTGATTTGATGAAGGATAAGAGTTATTCACAATAAGGCGTGTAGCTGACCAGCTTGACAGGTGGGCGCGGTGTAACGGTTTGTCAAGAGGTTTAAAACCCGTCTCAGCTCTCAGCCTGTGGGTGACATCACTCAGACCTCCCTCGCAGCGAGTTGTTGAAGAGAAGCAACTGAAGTCCACCCCAGAAGAACCAACAAATACAGATGTTGTTGAGGCTCAGGTTTCTTCCTCTGTCTCTGCAGCTCTCTGGGCACCTCGACGGACCAGTCACCAATAATGCACACTGTGTCTATAGGAGAAATACAAAGGTGTTCAATTAATGCCTCAGACAAGACAAAATGTACAGTTAACTACATGTGACAGCTCAGGCTGTTTTTTTGTTATGAGCCACATCTGCAGGAATAATATTGAACAAAGTAGCTGCAACTCATAATAATAGATGCCAGTCTTAAACAGTATTTTTTCTAATACTTAAAGTTTTTGGTGTGAAGCTGACACTGTCCACAGACTCCATGACTTCACAGGGTTCAATAGAAAACAAATGTCTTATATAAATACTAAATAATTATTTTTAATTGTCATGTTCACCTCATCGCTGTTGACATCAGTAAATATAAAACACAGACATTCCTCTTTTTGTCACAACAGTAACATGAACTGTATGCTTTGTAATATTGATTTCTTCTGGATGTCTCATATTTACAGTTTATGGATAAAACTTTGTTAATGTATTTCTCTGCTAACACTGACAAAGTCTAACTGCTCTGACAAATAACTAATAACCATGATTGTATATTTAAAAAAGTGTAGTTTTAAGACTTTAATTAAATATTTGAGTTGAATATAATTCGTTTTAACTGTTGTAGAAAAGTTAAATGTTAACTTACTGTTTATAGAGTTTTCTCAGGACGAGCAGGAATAGTTGATGATAGCAGCCTCGCTGTTAGCTATGCTGTGAAGTGGACTGCTGACGTCGAGCTGAATGGCGGAGTTAAGTCCCGCCGGTCCCGCCTTACTGCTGTCGTTAGGTTGATCCGAAGTTAGGTTGAGACTGCAAATCCAATATGGATGCGGCCGTCGATTGGACTCATTTTCTGCCTATGTCACAGACGGGTCAGGTTCGTCCAGTAATATTTACAGTCTATGGTCCCTACCGATGTTACTACCGCCCAGGGTCCAAAATTAACTTTTTGACTCACCGTCCAAGATGGCCGGCAGATGAAAACATTCACCGCCCAAACATTATACATCTATTTTTTTACCGGCCAAAATAACAAATTTTGTTTTTGTGTCCTATACACATCTGTTACAGTACATTTAATTGAGGAGGCATTATGTTCTGTTTAATCAATAACACATTTAAGTCACAGATTTGATCATGTCATCAGATTAGGAAATTGAGAAATTGTAAAAAAAAAAAATATATCTGCTGGCCTTTATTTTTTTCTTAATGTATTTACTTGTAGGCAGTAGTTTACCACCACCACACCACACCACACCATCACACCACACCACACCACACCACCAGTTTAAAGTATGAAGGCCTTGTATAAACTCTGAGTGTTGCATTAATGAAAAAACAGATTAC